TGAGGTGATAGGTATTGCAAGTCAAATATTGTAAAAAATTAAGTTATCTTAGATATAACTAAGGATTGCCCATGATTGTAATCAGGGTAAACATAACTATGTATTATCAAAAGACACTCTGACCTGGTATTGTGTTATTGTATAAACTTAAGTTGTCAATAGTAATAACATAACCTAATAACATAAATTAAAGCTATATATAAATAAACACTATATAAACATTAATTTCAATATAACGGATATATCATTTGATATAAATATTTAATGTAGCGTTCAGATTAACACATTCCTAATTAAAGGAAAATATAGTAAATTTTTACACGTTTTACCACTATACGTTAGCTTAAAATGACTGTGCTAGGAGTGATTCATGTCAGTAGTCGAATAGAGTATTCAAATCATTTAAGCTTTGTCGTCCATGCCCTTAACGTCTTTCCCTTAATTAAACCGGCTATGTGAAGACAAAAGCTGAATTAATTAAGAAATAAAAGCAAACGCTCGTGCACGTTTATACTGTTATCTCCTTTTTTAAGGATTTTTGGAACTCTTTTTTTCTGCTCAGATGCGAGCAAGGAACAAAGGACTAAACGTGCTAACAAAAGACTCTTAAACATCCTTATCTTCTGAAGTAACCAGCTTATGAAATTAACTCCGCTTTATTTTTATTTTTTCATTTTTCCCGATAGCTTCGAAATGAAATTTCAGAACGACGCTTTAGTGAGCTAACTAAACAAAGGTTTCCGTTGTCAAAATAGGTATTTTTAGTGTTGACAAAATACTGCACGAAGCTCAAACTTAGTGATAACTGACAAGGTGATGTCGATCGTGTTCTTACAATAAGGGCAAATTTTTTAATAAAAAACATCGAATAATTGATTAATATTTTGACGCATTGCATTGTAATAGTTGTATATATATGATGATATCGACCTTATAATGACAGTGTAAGAATATCCACTACCCCATATCGTCTCATGGTTGTCGCAAGAGGTGACAGAGGAAAACAAACCAAAAGATTGCACCTGTGTCTTCCAAATAACAACTAGAAAATATAAAATTAACAGTAGTTAACAGTGGTAGAGCCACGCGGCAGCTTTTGCTGTCGCACGGATGGGCCGGCTCGAACCGGGGTGGTACCACGACCTGACATAATACCAGCGTGAAGTAGAGGTTTACCTCTGCGTTTCGTTTGGTGAGTGCAGGTGGCCGGAGGCCCTTTTTACTGGAAATGAGGCATTCCATCTTAGTCCTCACGGGTGACAACGCATCTGCATTTTGATTCGCAAACGAGGATAGATGTAGATGTCTATGGGCCGCAGCAACCACTTGCCATCAGGTGGACTGTGTGCTCGTTTGTCACCCTCAAAAAAAAATCTACTGTTGCTAACCCGCCTGCCAAGTGTGCTCAACTATGTTCAAAAAAAATCTCGAATGGCAGCCTCATATGAATATGTGGAATGCAGTGTGGTTCTCCGCTGGAAGGACTTTTGGGAGATCTATGTTGAGTAGTGATGGAGGGTTCTAATAATCATGGTGATATTAATAAATCATTTGCTGCTATATTACTGATTATCCATATGAAACACAGTAAAGCGTTTAAAACAGTTGTTGCAAATAACGGGTCACTTTATGTTCAGTGTTAGCTGAAAAAGTAACAGGTGTAACCAACATCTGAATTAATGTATAAGAAGTTCCTTTTTTATTTTTGTATATTAAATGAATGCTTTTGCCTTAGCCTCATTTTATTGTACCTTCCATAAAGTATCTAAAGCTTTTACGAGACTAGAAGTAAACTACAGACGGCTCAGTGGCGCAGTGGCTTGGCAATGAGTTGTAGCACAGGGGGTCACGGTTTCGAATCCCGCACGGAACAATTATTTGTATGGCGTACAAATAATTGTTCAGGATCTGGATGTTTGATTGTCCTTGTACAATTTGTGTTTGTGAACTGCCACCACAATACAGGAGAAAATCCTAGTGTGGGGGTAGTAAGAAACAAAAATAAACTTTAAAAAGGTAAAGTTTAAATTTCGTGCTTTATTTGTAACACTGTCACTGTATCGTATTTCTGCCGACTTCCAAAAAGGAGACGGTACTCAATTCGACGCGTATGTTTTTTTTTATGTGTGTTACCTCATAACTTTTTACTGGGTGATCCGATTTCGATGATTCTTTTTTTATATGAAAGCTGATACTTCTCTTGTGGTCCCATATGAATTTGTTCAAGGTTAGACCAATAGTTTTTGAGTTATTCTTAATAACTTATATTGAAGTCGGCTGTATAAAACTTTTAATTTTAAATTATATTTGTAACACTACAGTGTATTACGATATGTGGTATATTAGCCACGTTTCAGCTATTCGAAACCATAATAAAACACTGAGTACAAAATTATACAATATGATTAATCTGTATATCATTCATGGGCGTCTTTTGGGATTACGTGATCACGAACTCATATTCTTTCTCTTAGGACAATAGCGCACGTCATAAGTGCGCGTTTTACATGGTAATATATCGATGGTTTTACATATCGACTCGAACGAGGAAACAATACGGTCCTACAGAATACCAGCATGAAACAACAGAATGATGCCGTGTTTCGTGTGGTGAATGTAGAGAACAGTTTTAACGAGTAACGAGGAATTCCATCTTGGTCCTCAGGGATAACAACGCATTTTCGTTTTGACTTTTTGTCGAGTATAGATATCGCAGCAGCATCCGCTTACCGTCAATTGTACTCACTTTTCACCCGTATTCTATAAAAAAAAAAACTACTCTCAGTTAGTAGCAACTTAAAAAAATATTGCCGTGGTAACTTAGAGTTAAGCGCCCACCGTAAATTTACCTAACCATTTATTATTTAATCTATTTTGTAAGCGCGCAACCCGAGCCCGATCTCCGCCGGCACCAATGAAATTCTTAAATGCAATTTTAAGTGCTGATTTACCATAAAATATCACGAGGAAACCTGCATGCTTAAATAATAAAATATTTTAAAAATGAGGATCGAGGAATTACCCATTGAGGGTAGAGAAGCGCGGAGCTGAAAAAAATCTCTTGTCAGAAATGAGAAGAAGCTTGTGCCTGTCAATGGATCGTGTAAACCAAATTGCAGTCACGGCGGCCACCCTCAACGGATATTAGCCATCTGCGTAGGACTGGATTATAGTGCCCAAGTATATGCGCAAGCACAGGTGCACTTTCTATTCCCTCACTCTCATGGTCCGATGGGACGGAAAAACCACACCAACGGCTTTAGGTGCTTTCTGAGGCATGGAGGTGAAACACCGCCAATTTCCTGACTACAGGCAGCTACTGGGAATTTCTTGACAGAAAAACTCAATAACTGATTTTTTTTTTGCCCTACACAATATTCGAACCCGTGACCTAGTGATCAGAAGTCGTGTTAACGACCACTTTACCATATACCATACTTCCAGCAATGTCAAATTTAATTCTATGAAATAATATACACAGCCATTAGTGTTTTTAGTCTAATCGAACTATCTAACTTAAAAAAGAAATCTGGAACCAACGATCGAACCCGTCTCCCTAAGCACGAAGGACGCTTCAGATTAGTGCAACTAAACCGGTCACTCATATGAAGTCTGAACGACCTCTACTCGTACGAGGCTTATCTCCAATCATAACGTTAAGCGGTGTTATAACGTAGCCTTAGAAAATGCATTTTTTTTAAATTAAACTTACCTATCTGTTTATTTAGTTTTAAGCGATGTTAGTGAATTTAAATTTATTATTAGAATATATAAATATTTTTTTAGGATAAGGACATCCATCCGGTCCTTTTTCCCGTGTGCATCGTAAAAGGCGACTGTGAGATGTATAAAATGATAGAGATGTATAAAATGGAATAAAATAGAATAGAATAGTTTTTATTCAATATAGATTACAAGAATACTTATTGAAAATTTATGTTTTTACCACTGGTTCGAAAAAATCTCTGTCCTGAGCAGAACCAGAAAGAAACCCAGCCGAAAAATTTTCTTTAACAATAATTTACAATCATATATGTTGTAGGAGATCAGTGCCAGAGGTGCTCACATCTGGATCTAGAATCCCTAATTCCCCTGCGTAACAAATGACGCATATAGTCCCTACAACGAGAGATGAGAGCTTCTTCAGAAATGGTCTTTCATGGAATGGAGAGGAAGAAGAATGATATGACGAATTTATAACTCGGAACTTAATTTACGCATTATCGTTCTATTTGTTTCTCGACCACAGTCACATCTCCCGAATATCGGAAGATGCACAGAAGTTGTTATGTGCCGCAACTTGTGCAAACGGGGAGACTAAATTTAATTTAATTGACTTATTTAGATATAACATTGCTGAAAATTATTTCATAGTCAAGCAGGGTTTCCCTTAACGTCTAATACGTGGTACTGCACTTAAAATTGCAGTTAACAATAATTGTAATTATATTTACAATTATTTTTATTTTTTTTAATTGGTCAACCATTGTTGGCGGCGGAAACTGAACGCGGATTGCTCGCTTGCTGTGAAGTTCACGTCGAGCACTTAACCCCTTGAGCCACTACAGTTTAATATTCAGCACTTCCGTCCTACGAATCATTACATATTTTAACAAAATAAAATAAAGTATTTGTTTTAAGTATCTAAGTTTCAGCCAGTTTAAGTGTTCAAGTATTTTTTTATGTGTGACGTGTAGCTGCGGATTAAGAGAACCCGCTATCCCAAATCACCCCGTGTTTAATAATAGTAATAAATATAAAATGCATTATAAATTTTATTCTACCGTGTAATGGCGGTGCTACAGAGGGAAACTGAAACAGAGGCTTCAGCATTTCCCTGATAACAAGTCAGACTAATAGAAATATGCAGTTGACAACCCGCCTGCCAAACGCGGCAACTGTGATATGGTTTAGTTGTGAACTTTTGATAGACTGCATCGAGCGAAAAATGTTTTCGAACGCAAATGAAATGTTAAACCGAAGTTTGCATTTGTCCAAAGATTCGCGAACACCTGGAGCCGCTGGAGGTGATGGCTTCTCTTCTGGCCGCCATCGCACATGACATGGATCATCCGGGCGTCAACCAACCCTTCCTGATTGCGACATCAAACCACCTCGCCACGCTCTACCGAGTAAGTATTTATATTTATAACTTTTCACTTTTTATAGAAAATAATTGGTTGGATACAAAAAAAGAAATGTCTATAAAAGCAAGAATGATGACGTAATCGGGTGTGCTACGACAGCTTTTAGTGAATCGGGAAATAGTTAACAAACATAAATATAAATACCCAGAGGGGTAGGCAGAGACTATAGACATACATTTGGAACTATCCACACACACCTCTCTCACTTCTTAACATCCATATGTTAATGCATTCTTGTGGTAATTTTGATTTGGCTCATCTTTACATATATACAGTGGTAACAGTGGTAGAGCCACGCGGCGGCTTTTGCTGTCGCACAGATGGGCCGGCTCGAACCGGGGTGGTACCACGACCTCACAGAATACCAGCGTGAAGTAGAGGTTCACCTCTGCGTTTCGCTTGGTGAGTGCAGGTGGCCGGAGGCCCTTTTTGCTGGAAATGAGGCATTCCATCTTAGTCCTCACGGGTGACAACGCATCTACATTTTGATTCGCAAACGAGGATATATGTAGATGTTTATGGGCCGCAGCAACCACTTGCCATCAGGTGGACTGTGTGCTCTTTTGTCACCCTTATCCTATAAAAAAAATATAGAAAATAATCATTGAAGCAGAGTAAATTCTGCGACAGCAAGAATACGGTTCCTAATATTCTACCGCTATTAAAAAGACGGACTACATCGGTCTTAGAAAATGTGGTTAATTGATAATATCTGGTTTAAAGAAGAGTTTTTTTCTTATAGTACAACAAATATCAAAGTGTACGGAATCTCATAGACATCGACAATTCTCAGTTTTGAATAAAAATGCAGATGCGTAGTCAGCCCTTAGTAATAAGGTGGAATATCTCGATTCCAGTTTAAAGTTTTTCTTGGTATCTACATTCACCATATCAGCAGAATTAAGCTGTTGTTTTACACTAGTATTCTGTGTAAACGTGGTCCATCACCGGTCGAGCCGATCCATTCGCGCTACAACCACAAAACAGCCCTAAATCATATTTCACATTATTTATCAAATGTCATACTTTATATTTTAGTTCGCAAATATTCCACAGGACTTCTTAACTAAAACAGACTCTAGTTTAAACCTAAGACTAGTAATAAACTACCTTTGTAATAATACGGCATAAGTTTAGACAATATTTTTGCTTTAACAAAGAGGTACTTAATACTAACCGCTATGATGCACCGATATGAGTCAACGAACTCCAATCTATAAACATTTATTGCTTTTCAATAACAAATGTGTGGAATGTTTTATAAATTTCAATTTATACGAGTACCTCTCCGATTGTATTTACAACCTTATTCTCGTTATGGATCTGTAATATTTGCTGCAACAGGTGTCAGTGCATTCATACTGACGTGTGAAATGAAATTTATTTAGCTACGGAAATGTTCAATTTTGAATTTAAAAACTGAATGTGAGGTTCGCATTGTTTGTAAAAATAATATGTGTTTGTATTGTTATCGTTGACTTTTGCTGTATTGTATGTATACAGCATGTAACAAAAACCCTGTGGTTCCCGTTAAGTAAGTTATCAGGATCATTATTCAAACCTATAGAAATAACTTTTTTTTAAAAACTCGACCAATTTTTTTTTAATTTTAATAAAAAAAAGTTAATGTTATGTGGTTTTATTACCGCTTACTGTCACTATCCGATGCTAACGCTAAGTAAAGCGGGGTCTGACAATCTTCGTACTCCCCAGACAATGCAGAGGTAATAAAACCATCAAAAATTTGCATACAATTTTTTTTAAATAAAAAAAAATATTGTTCGAGTTTTTAAAAAAAAAGTTATTTCTATAGGTTGGAATAATGATCCTGATAACGTACTTAACGGGAACCACAGGGTTTTTGTTACATATTGTATATTTACAACTAAAGTTACCATTATCGTTACTGCCTATTAAAGTCCACTGCTGAACATAGGCCTACCCTAGATTGCCTCATAGGGTGGATTTTATTTTAGTTTGACATAGTTACCATGGTTGGCAAACGCGTTGGCAATCACAGTTTTTTATTTTTAGTCTGTTTTAGGAAGGCTTTGCTGCCCATCTATTGATTTATTTCCCCTCTGTCGCCTCTTACGACACCCACGTGTTGATATGGGGTAGTGGATATTCTTACACCGCCTTTATACTGTAATTTCATTTAAACCTACCTAACCAAAATATAAATTACTAAAATTTTAATAACGCGCCCGAATAACATGGAATAAACAACGACACCGAATCCAACACATCGCTAGATTTCAATTTAATTTCAATTTCTAATCGTTATTTTTCTTTAAATTTGATATCGTTTGATATTGTCGCAATATACTCGTACTTCATACTAAAACCACTTTATACGAGACACGCTCAACATAATCTACTTTTGCATATTTAGTTATTATGGATATCCATCAAAATAAAAATGAGGGAAAAATTGTTTAAAATATTTTTATGACATTGCTAGAATTAAGTGCTCCGAGTTGTTATGCCAATTTACTGCACTACCTTGTTGTCCAATAATTTTTATAATTTATCGCTTCATTTTCGGCGCGCTGGAAACGTATCTACTTAATTTTATATTCATACTCGTATTTTATTGTTGCGGTCTCCAGTTGGACGTTACTCCCGGCTCCCCTTTTTGGATGATCAGCTGTTTGAAAATAAATATTGCAGTGACATCATCGATCACTACGATGAGTGACATTAAATTTTTACTTTTCGTTTGTGTATCGTATGTATGTAGTGTGTTGTGTGTGTGTTGTGTGTGTATGTGCGCGCGCGCGTAGAATGCCAGAACTTCTAGGTAATTCGCTGACAACGAATTAAGCTCAGCAATGTTTAAATCTCCCATCAGGAAAATATTTTAAAAGTAGAATGTTTAGTTAATAAAAATTGTAACGATAGTAGGAATTTATCCAGCGATATATAGCTAAGGGATCTATATACCTATAGCAATTATAGCTGTATCGTTATTGATTGTTATTAACACAAATGTCACTTTCTGCCATTACGAGGATTAGCCCGAACAGATAGAAAGAGAGATAAATTTTTTAATAATAGCACAGACAGACATAAGGAGAGATGAAATTTTAATAATGGTTATTCATGTCTTTATTGCATTGAAATAACCGCCTAAGATCAATAAAAAGTAATTATTTCGATATCGCAGACACAAAGCCGTGGTAGCTAAGCGCTTGCTGTAAATTTCACACTACGCGAGCAACCCGGGTTTGATCCCCCCGCCGGCACCAATGAAATTGTTAATTGCAATTTTAAGTGCAGATTTACCACGTACTCGGCGGTGAAGGAAAACATCGTGACCAAACCTGCATGTCTGAGAAATGAGAAAAAAAATATTTCGAAGACATAAGAAGTTAGCCAAAACGCATTGACACAGCGTGGCGGACATTTCCCTCTCGGAAATGAGAGGAGGTCTTTGGCCAGCTGTGGGTCGTATAGAGACTCTAATTTTACTTTACTTTAGACAGACATTTCAAAAGAAAAAGAAAAAAGAGGTAAAAAAATAAACACACACACACACACACACACACACACACACACACACACACACACACACACACACACACACACACACATATATATATATACAAAAATAAAATATGTATCGAATTATTTAATTACTTAAATGAAATGTATATGCTACATATAATATTATATTTTGGCTAGTGTGGAAGTGAAGTTAGAATTTAAAGTGTATTAAAGTGTATTAGACTGCTGATAGCCGATCGATTGTACCACAGGACATAAATTTGTCGTGGTAAAAATATTGTTTCACTTTCAACAGTACACAATTTGTATGATTTTAAAAGAAATAATGTCTGTAATCCAATCATCGGATATTGTTTGGATTGCAGTAAGAACAAAGTCCTTTGCCTTGGCAGTAAACAAAAGACGCGCCTCGTTTTCGATGCGACAATAAAAACTGCGCACTGTGATGAGTTAGCGCGGGAAAGGGGACGATGTCTAGGAGTACAATGCTCGGCACTCATTTAAACTGTCTTTACATACGAAATTAACAATTATAAAATTGTGCTAGAGGAAGACCGAAAGACCATCCTAGTACAGAACACTAATAAATAGCAGCATTTGCATGGAGACCCTATTACTGGTGACATTATTAGTCTGCAGGGTTGGCAACGCTATCTTTCGATTCTTAATCGAGAATAGGTGAAGCTGTCTATGGGTCACAGCATCCACTTACCATACTAGGACTGTGAAAAACTACCCTTATTCTTGTTCAAGTTTAACGCAAAAACTCAACAGTAGCACTATTGAAAGTCACAAGGCACCAGACGTCCGGCCAGTCTCCACCACTCCACACCACCACAGTTGACTTACCACGCATTCGAACCAAACGTTTCGCTACGTCGTTCATCATGCGTACAGCAAAGGAGTGGAATAATTTGCCAGCATCTGTCTTTCCATCGATTACAGTGTGGGTGTCTTCAAGGCAAGAGTGAATAGGCTTTTGCTAAGTCAGTGCGCTTCATCAACTTAGGCTACATTACCGCTTACCATCAGGTGGGATCGTAGATAAGCGCTGGCTTAGAAGAATATAAAAAACGAATATATTTTTGTTACTCTACGGCAGACAGCATTATCTTCATATCTCATTTATTGTCGTTTAGTAGAAAGATAGAGAAAAAACGGGAGTGAGCAACTTTAAACATTTCTTTACACATTATACTTTTAAACATTTCTTTGACCTTGATTTTTATAACAAAGGCCTTCACTTATTACTTTTTGTATTGTGTAATGCTTATTGGTGTGCATTTCTGCCAGTGGATTGTCTTGGTCCTCGAAATTAACCTTCGGCTAGGTAAAGTCTTGACATACATGCTTATATCAATTTATTTATGTTGTATCGTACAGACCTTTGAGAAATTGATTGGTGAACAATCCGTAACGGGTTAATTGGCATAAATAGGATTACGAGTAGATTGAACGAGTTTTAACTTTGCAAA